CTCGAGAACATCCGCAACGGCCGATGGTTGGTGGGTTCTACCGGGCGGGGCATCACCCCATACTGGCAGGCAGTTGAAACTGTGACCCCAGGCAAGCAACTGCTCTTCATGCAGCGAGTGTTATTCACCTTTAACATTCGGAAGAAGCAAGTCCGGTCGCTGAGCACCGCCCGCTGCACAGCAGAACAGTGGGAATTGATGCTTGAGACTTCCTGCCTGGCCCACCAGCTGCTGGAGGACATGAAGGCTGCCAAGGACGATGCCGGTGCTGCTCTCTTCAGGGAAGCAGACATTGCGAAAGCCCGGCAGCGGGCCTTGGAAGGGCACCGTGACTGCATTGTTTCCTCGGCCTTAAGATTTATTGATGATGCAAGGCTCGAACAGTTTAGTCGGTTACTCAACAAAAGGAAGTTGGCGCGGGCCCTCTGTCCAAAGGATTTCGGTGGGATTCTAGGGCGTTTTCAGGTTTAGGGTTTTTGGTGGTTACCGGGTTTAATTTCGATGCATCTGCAGTCTTCGATCATCGCCCCCGACAGCCTGAACGAAGTGGTGGTTGTTTGACGAAACCCTAATCCCTAAACCCGAAAACCCTAAACCCTCAACCCAGAAACTATTATTTTCCTAGAGGCTCCTTATGTTCACGTTGAGTCTGGGGACCCATTCTGCTTCTGTGCCTGAAACCACTGACTGTTCGATTTAAGAATCAAACCCCAATCTTAAATCCCTAACCTTTACCTAAACCCAGAAAAGCATCAGGGATCAACCTGGGCTTGGTCCTTTCAGTATCCAAAGGTTTGGGGTTGCGAGCAGGCTTTTGGGATACACAGGTTTTTTTGCGAACTGGCTGCGAACACTCCAGACTTTAAATATGAGGCTTTGAGGCATGACCATGGTGTTGGTCCTGAGCTGTTCTTGCTCTGCTTCGGGCATTGATCTTTTAGGGTTTAGTTGGGGCTTAGGGCCTAGTGGAAGTTTAGGGATTAGTTGTGTTCTAGGGTACAAGGCTGCACGTGTTGGTAGAGTCAGAGTACACATGTCCGTTTGCCCCAAACTGACATGTCTCACCCCCGATTCGACAAGCCCTGCTGCCCTAGATTCTAAGTACAACCTGTGTACCACGCCCTCGCCTGCCCAGGGACTACAGCTCCGAGATCCAGAACCTCACGGTGGCCAAGATGGACTTCGTTGCATCCGACTTGTCGTTTTGGCAGGACCACTGGTCATAAATTTCTCATGCTGCCTCACCACCACACAACAGATTGCCACTACACAGGTATTGCATTGATTATGTGTCATGCTGCCAGCACTCCACTTTGTCGTCCGAATCACACAACAGAAGTCGTCTTCTCTTTCATGTTGTCAACACCACTACTATTTCAATTGCCATGGTGTCCTGCTGCCGTCACCACTACAGTCCTGTTGCCCCGTCATGTTGCCAGGACCGACTTACATTGGCTGTCGTTTCACGATCATAGTGTCATGCTGCCCTGTGTCATGCTGCCATCACCACTGCACCCACGGCGGCCCAGGACCACGTGACCAAGCCGGCGGCGGCAGCTGGCTCTTTCGGCGAGGGCACCTGCACAGGACAGAACGATGCGATTAAAGCCCTGGACATTGAAAGTGTTCAGAAAGCCTTCCAGGCTGATCTTCTCAAGGTGTCCGAAGACTGTTCGAGGTTCTCAGAATACTTGTCGAAACTCACAGCAGGCAAGCGACAACATGCGATCGCAAAGGTCCTTAAGCTAAAAGCTGAGAACCGACGCGGGGCCCAACTCGTTGTCGATTGGATGCATCGATATGCAAAGTTTGCCACAAACGATTTTGTGGAAGAGCACATGAACATCGTCGAGGCAGTGTAAACCCTAAGCCGTAAACCCTAAACCCTAAACCCTAATCCTAAACCCGGACACCCTACACCCTAAAATTCGGGGTTCGATGTAGTACTGCTACACGACTTAGAGACCCGAAACCGAAACTCATCCCAATCCTTCCTTCCCTGCAGTGGGTGGGCAGTGTGTCGCCAGCCGCAATCGTGGTTTGGGCTGACCTCACCAAAGCCGGCACCGTGCAAGCTGACTTTCTCGATTCGATCAGCGAAGAGGTTAGACGATTATGCGCCGCCTACCCCAACAAGGCGGCAGGCTTCATCGTGGCTCCAACGATGGTTTCGTCTCGTGTGGTGGCTGGCAAGAGAGGGGAGCTGAGGCAGGAATTTCCATGCCTCCTTTTGTGCAATCATTTAAGATCCTGT